TGGCAAATGGAGAATTTTGCATGACTTATGGGCTATTAATGCTAATCGACAGCCTATGAGGCCTCTTCAGCAGGGGCTCCCCTCCCCTATGGCAATTCCTCAAAATTGGCCTGTAGTCATTATTGACTTAAAAGAATGCTTTTATTTTATTTATTTATTCTTTTTTTTATTGCATTTTAGGTTTTGGGGTACATTTGAAGAACATGCAAGATAGTTGCATAAGTACACACATGGCAGTGTGATTTGCAGCCTTCCTCCCCTTCACCTATATCTGGCATTTCTCCCCATGCTATCTCTCCCCAACTCTCCACCCCCCACTATCCCTCCCCTATTTCCCCCCAACAGACCCCAGTGTGTAGTGCTCCCCTCCCTGTGTCCATGTGTTCTCATTGTTCAACACCCACCTATGAGTGAGAACATGTGGTGTTTAATTTTCTGCTCTTGTGTCAGTTTGCTGAGAATGATGGTTTCCAGGTTCATCCATGTCCCTACAAAGGACATGAACTCATCATTTTTGATGGCTGCATAATATTCCATGGTGTATATGTGCCACATTTTCCCTGTCCAGTCTATCATCGATGGGCATTTGGGTTGGTTCCAGGTCTTTGCTATTGTAAACAGTGCTGCAATGAACATTCATGTGCATGTGTCCTTATAGCAGAATGATTTATAATCCTTTGGATATATACCCAGTAATGGGATTGCTGGGTCAAATGGAATTTCTATTTCTAGGTCCTTGAGGAATCACCACACTGTCTTCCACAATGGTTGAACTAATTTACACTCCCCCCAACAGTGTAAAAGTATTCCTATTTCTCCACATCCTCTCCAGCATCTGTTGTCTCTAGATTTTTTAATGATTGCCATTTGAACTGGCATGAGATGGTATCTCAATGTAGTTTTGATTTGCATTTCTCTAATGACCGGTGATGATGAACATTTTTTCATATGTTTGTTGGCCTCACGTATGTCTTCTTTTGTAAAGTGTCTGTTCATATCCTTTGCCCACTTTTGAATGAGTTTGTTTTTTTCTTGTATATCTGTTTTAGTTCTTTGTAAATTCTGGATATCAGCCCTTTGTCAGATGGGTAGACTGCAAAAATTTTTTCCCATTCTGTTGGTTGCTGATTCACTCTAATGAGTGTTTCTTTTGCCATGCAGAAGCTGTGAAGTTTGATTAGGTCCCACTTGTCTATTTTGGCTTTTGTTGCCAATGCTTTGGTGTTTTGGTCATGAAGTCCTTGCCTACGCCTATGTCCTGGATGGTTTTGCCTGGATTTTCTTCTAGGGTTTTTATGGTGTTAGGTCTTATGTTTAAGTCTTTAATCCATCTGGAGTTAATTTTACTGTAAGGTGTCAGGAAGGGGTCCAGTTTCTGCTTTCAGCACATGGCTAGCCAGTTTTCCCAACACCATTTATTAAACAGGGAATCCTTTCCCCATTGCTTGTTTTTGCCAGGTTTGTCAAATATTGGATGGTTGTAGATGTGTGGTGTTAATTCCGAGGCCTCTCTTCTGTTCCATTGGTCTGTATCTCTGTTTTGGTACCAGTACCATGCTGTTTTGATTACTGTAGCTTTGTAGTATAGTTTGAAGTCCAGTAGTGTGATGCCTCCCGCTTTGTTCTTTTTGCTTAGAATTGACTTGGCTATGCGGGCTCTCTTTTGGTAAGAATGCTTTTATACTATTCCCCTTGCAGAACAGGACAGAGAAAAATTTGTGTTTACAATACTAGCTATCAGTAATGAAAGGCTAGCTTGCCGATTTCTTTGGAATGTGGTTCCTTAAGGAATACTGAACAGTCCTATCACTTGTCAATATTATGTAAATCAGGCTTTGCTCCCCAGTAGAAAAGAATTTCCTGTTTGCAAGATTGTTCATTTTATGGGTGATATTTTACTGGCAGCCCCAATGGAACCAGCTCTTTTAAGTTTATATGCCTCTGTCCAAAGGAATACACAGTTAAGAGGTTTAATCATAGCACCTGAAAAAGTACAAATGTCCTCTCCTTGGAAATATCTTATATACTAACTTCCTGATAAGTAAGGCCTCAAAAGGTTAAATCAAATACTAGTAACTTACAAACCTTAAATGATTAGCAAAGATTACTGGGTGATATTAACTGGCTTTGCACCACCTTAGGCATAACTACTGATAAGTTGTAAAACAGGCGCCTACCACTGCCTGGATGAATTTAGCATTTTTTTTTTTTGTTTGTTTGAGACAGAGTGCAATGGCGAGATCTCAGCTCAGCGCAACCTCTGCCTCCTGGGTTCAGGCAATTCTCCTGCCTCAGCCTCCTGAGTAGCTGGGATTATAGGCACGCGCCACCATGCCCAGCTAATTTTTTGTATTTTTAGTAGAGAAGGGGTTTCACCATGTTGACCAGGATGGTCTTGATCTCTTGACCTTGTGATCCACCCACCTTGGCCTCCCAAAGTGCTGGGATTACAGGCATGAGCCACCGCGCCCGGCCTACACATTCTATTTTTATCACACATATTTGAGCCCATAGCTCACTGCCTGGCCCACTGGCTTATGGCAGTGATCAAGCATATCTGCAAGTTATGACATCACTGCTTGACCAAGCCACCCAATTGCATCAATTTTTCCACTAAAATTGGAGGAACTTAACTAAACGATTTCAACTTACCCAAAGACTAGCCAAACAAATAATCCTGCAATGTCCAGATTGTCAGCTCACAGGCACATCGCCTCCTTCTATAGATGTTGACCCTAGAGGACCAGAACCTAATCAGTTATGGCAAACAGATGTTACATACATCCCTGAATTTGGAAAACTAAGATATGTACATGTAGCCATTGATACCAACACTCATCTAATTACTGCACACACTTCCTGGAGAGGCCACTCTATGTCATTAAACATCTTAACTTTTGCATTTATGGGGTGGCCCACAAAAATTAAAACTGTTAATGGTCCAGCTTATGTCAGCTCACAATTTCAACAATTTTGTCACATGTGGAATATCCAACATTCCACAGGCATTCCATGTAACCCCCAAGGACAGGCCCTTGTAGATCGTGTCCACTGTACCCTTAAAAATATGCTCAGAAAACAAAAAAGGGGAAGTATGGATAAGGATCTTGCAACATTTACTAGCACAAGCCTTGTTTACCCTTAATTTCTTAAATTTAAATGATACATTTCAATCAGCTGTAGAAAAGCACTTTGCTAAAAGCTCTGAACATAAAACCTGCGGTTTTATGGAATGATGTAAATAGTAATGAATGGTATGTTCCAAATGACTTGCTAACATGGAGACGAGGATATGCTTGTGTTCACACCTTCTCAGGTCCTCTTTGGATTCCAGCACTATGTATCAAACCATACCATGGCATGGCTAGGACCCAACTCGATACCAGCGATGAAGACAATGACCCTGCAAGATCTGCAGCCCCAGACGATGGGACCTCCTCGGATGACAAAAGCCCCAGACATTACCTGGGGGATGCTGAAGGAAGCAACTCAGAAGGCTGAGTGAATCCTGCTCCAAACACAAACACAAACACCATTCACTCCAAATAATTTGTTCCTCCTTTTTTATTATCTCACTCTGCCTGTGACCTGTACTTGCTGCACTCTATTGAGCCATCTTCTAATCTGCTGTTTTTCTGCCTGTTGCTTAGGCAGAAACTCCCTTCCCAGCCTCGAACAACTCGACTGCATGGCTAGAAAGAATAAATTTACCCCCAGTGGGGTCCCTCATTACTGGCACACATTGGACTGAGGTGCCAAGTAACACTACAGGTTGCTCCTTGATTGGAAAACAATGTTACTGGTTATACTCATGTTTGTCTTATGTTATTTACTAATTCTAGGATACAAGGTCGGAGCATGACTTACAACTGCTGTGCCTGACAGAACTGCTGCTGCACACATTTGTACTATTCAATCAACAAAGCTTGATGCAAAAAACAGAAAAAGGGGGTGGTTTAGGAGATCAGTCAGAATGGTGGGAGAAATTATAAATGGATGCAAACCTTCTTGGAAGGCTGGAAGATTTTACAAAAGCTTCGGGAGGAGGTCATGGCTGAATCCTCTTACCTTGAGCTAATAGCAAAAACCAAATAACAAGGGAATTTAGAGGAGTTTATCTAAATAGCTTGTTTACTAAGATTGACCTTTGAACCTCCACAGGCAAAACTGCTCTCTACTCTGAGCGTTGACAATGTTAATGTTGTTTACTTGAGACCTTTGCCATTTAATCTGTACTAAATAAATGCGAGCATTGCCAGCTTATCATGGCTGCTGCTGACTCTGGCATAGATCCCCTGGCAACGCTGACTGGCAAGCCTGTGTCAGTGTACGTCTTTAATCCATCACTCAGTTGAGTCTGCCAGTCGGACTCAACAAAACTCAGCCAGAGAAAAAGAGATACCTTACATATGGGGGCACAGGCATAAGAATAAATGCAAAAATAAGCCCTTGTTCCTAACAATACCTTCAAAGTACATATTAAAAGAAAAAAATCTGCCAACCTAGAGTTCTCTACCCAGGAAAAATATCCTTTAAACATGAAGGTAAAATGAAGACTTTTTCAGACAGATAGAAGCTGAGAATTTGTGACTATCTCCTGGACTACAAAAATGTTAAAGGAATTTTTTTTTTTTTCCAGATATGCTCTTGCTTATTTTTGTAAAAACATTTTGTAGAGACAGGGTCTCTTTATGTTGCCCAGGTTGGTCTCCAACTCCTGGCCTTGAGCAGTCCTCCAACCTCGGCCCCCTCAAAGCTCTGGAATTGCAGGCATGAGCCATCACACCTGGCCATGAAATTCTTAAGACTAAAGAAATATGACACTACATGGGAACTTGGAACTACATAAAGGAAAGCAGAGTGGAGGAAATGATAGTGTTATTTATGAAAGTTTTTTTTTTTTTCTTGAGATGGAGTCTTACTCTGTCACCAGGCTAGAGAGCAGTGGAGTGATCTAGGCTCAATTTCTGCCTCCATCTTCCAAGTAGCTGGGACCACAGGCATGTGCCACCATGCCTGGCTACTTTTTTGTATTTTTAGTAGAGACAGAGTTTCACCATGTTAGCCAGAATGGCGTTGATCTCTTGACCTTGTGATCCGCCCGTCTCAGCCTCCCAAAGTGCTGAGATTACAGGCGTGAGCCACTGTGCTTGGCCAATTTTTTAAATTTAAAAATTTTATTGAAAGATATTTATTATTTAAAGATAACAAATTTTCATGGTGCTTATAACATATGTGTGACCACAATAGCCCAAAAGATGGGAAGGGAAAATAGAAGCATATAGTTGTAAGGTCTTATACACGAAGGGGTGTAATTATTGTTTGAAGGTAGACTGTGGTAGGGTAAATATGTGTATGCAAAACAAGAAGCAGCAGAACAAAACATCTCCAAATAAGTGCAGCTAAAAAACCTCAAATAAGAGGAGATAAAATGGAATGCTGAAAAAGCAATCAAATAATTCAAAAGAAGTCAGGAAAAAGAAAAAAGGAACAACAAAGAACTACAAAAAAAAAAAAAAAAAAAAAGGAAAAATGAAGGCCAGGCATGGTGGCTCATGCCCATAATTCCAGCATTTTGGGAGGCCAAGGCGAGTGGAGTCAGGAGTTCGAGACCAGCCTGGCCAACATGTGAAACCCCATCTTAAAAGGAAAAAAAAAAAAAAAAAAGGACGGAACACCTAGAAAACAAACAGCAAGACAAGACGATAAACTTACTCTAAACGTATAGATAATTACATTAAGCATAAATGGTCTAGTCAGTCCAGTGAAAACAGAGTTTAACTGTGTTGTCTATAGAAACCCACTTTAAATATTTTAAATAGAGACACAATTTAAAATTAAAAGGATAGTAGCTGGGCATGGTGGCTCACACTTGTAATCCTAGCACTTTGGGAGGCTGAAGTGAGAAGATCACTTGAGCCCAGGAATTTGAGACCAGTCTGGGCAACATGGCAAAACCCCATATCTACAAAAAATACAAAAAATTAGCCAGGCATGATGCATACCCTTGTAGTCCCAGCAAATGAGTAGGAGGCTGAGGTGGGAGGATCACCTGAACCCAAGAGGTTGAGGCTGCAGTGAGCAATGATCACATCACTGCACTCCAGCCTGGGTGACAGAGTGAGACCCCATCTCATTTATTTATAATAAAAAATAAATAAAAGGCTAGAAAAAGATAGACATCACAAATACTTATCAAAAAAGTGCAGTGGCTTTATTAATATTAAACAAAGTAGACTTCAGGATAAGTAATATTACCAAGGATAATGAGGGACATTTTCCAATGATGAGAAGATCAATTAATCAGAAGATTTTAAGTGTTTATATAACCAATAACAGAGCTTCAAAATATATGAATTGCAATCAGACAGAAATAAAGACAAAAAAGCAATGAATAAAAACTAACAAAAATGAAAGGAGAAATGGAAATATTAACAATTATAGTTGGAGATATGAACACTGCATTCTTAGTAATTGGTAAAACAGACAGATAATCAGTAAGAGTAAAAAAGGCTAGAACATTATCTACTCACTGATCTAATTGATAGAATGTTAACACCCAAAGACAACAGAACACACATTCTTTTTAAGTGCATGTGGAACATTCAACAAGATAAAACAAATTCTGGGCCATAAAACAAGTCTCCATAAATTGAAAAGAACTGAAATTACACAGAGTAGTTTCTCTGTTTAAAAATAAAATTAAATTAGAAATCAACAACAAAAGCATAACTTGAAAATTCACAGATATTTGGAAATTAAATGACATTCTTCTAAATAACTCATGGGTCAAAGAAGGAAAATTATATTTTGAATTGAATGAAAATGAAAACACAACAAATTACAATTGGTGGCATGGACCCAGCATGGTGGCTCATGCCTGTAATCCCAGTACTTTGGGAGGCTGAGGCAGGCAGATCATTTGAGGCTAGGAGTTGAAGACCAAACTAGCCAACATAGCAAAACTCCGACTCTACTAAAAATACAAAAATTACCTGGGCGTGATGGTCCGCACCTGTAATCTCAGCTATTAGGGAGGCTGAGGCATGAGAACTGCTTGAACCCGGGAGGTGGAGGTTGCAATGAGCCAAAATCATGCCACTGCATTCCAGTCTGAGTGACAGAGCAAGTCTCTAAGACAAAGCAAAACAACAACAACCCCCACCCCTAGAATTGGTGGTATGAAGCTAAAGCAGTACTTTCAAATAAATTTTAGCATTAAATGTTTGTATTAGAGAAAAAAGGGTATAAAAAAATCAATGATCTAAGCTTCCACCTTAAAACAAAGACTAGAAAAAGAACAACTGAACACAAAATAAGTAGATGTAGAAATAATTAAGAATGTAAGAAGTAAGAGTGAAAAATAAATGAAATAGAACACAGAAAAATAATAAAGTAAATAAAGCCAAAAGCTGTTCTTCAAAAAAAATCAATAATAAATCTCTTATCAGGCTAAGAGAGAGAGAGAGTGAGGAAGAAGAAGAAGGAGGAGGAGGAGGGGGAGGAGAAAAGAAGAGGAGAAGAAGAGAAGAGAGAAAAAAGAAATTGCCAGCATTAAGAATGAAAGAATGAAAGAGGGGACATTATTATAGATCCTATAGATATTTAAAAAACAAAGGAATGTTATGAACAACTTTATGTTTAATGGGTGAATTCTATTATACATTAGAATGGAATAACACCAATTCTATACAAACTCACTTAAAAAGTAGAGGAGAAACACCACCCAGATTCTTTTAGGTGATTAGCATTATCCTGATACCACAAACAAAAGACCAACATCTCTCATGAATAGAGGTAGCAAATTAAAACCAATGGTAATACTTTGGCATATTAAAACCAATAGCATTTGAAAAAGAAAATTTATTATGACCAAGTGGGGTTTATCTCAGGAATGCAAGGTAGACTTAACATTTGAAACAGAAAATCATCAATAGCTGAAGATCAGTTAACTACTCACATATATTTCACCTAGTTTATATATAGTTCCATTTTGTACATTTAAAATTTTAAATAATCTGAAATTGATTTGGGTATGTGGGGTTAGAGTAAGAATATAATTTTTTGCCAAAGTGTTATTTTTTATGATATCATTTGCTGAGTGAATAATTTGACATTTCTCCATTAATTTCTCACATTTCCTTTGTCTTTTAATTTACTAATTTACATGTTTTGTCAGTACTTCTGCCAGTGTTATAGTTGCATAATGTTTAATAATAGTAGTTCTAAAATATGTTTTCTGTCTGGCAAAGCAAAAGATGTCCCATACTTTTGTGAACATTTTCCCCCGTTCTTTCTTAAAATTAAATGTATTTAATAACAGGTAATATATGTACTTAAATTTAAACTCAAATCATAGAATACAGTATACATATTTAATGAATGTTACTAGTTTCTTATATATGCATCCATAGATATTTTATACATAAATTAGCATATGTGATTTTTCCTATTTTAAAAACGTATATATACAAATGGTAGCAAACTATGCACAGTCATTGTATATGTTGCTTTTTCACTTAACGTTATATCTTGGAGCTCATTTCATTTTAATATCAACAACTTCCTCATTCTTTTTTACAACCGCATAGTATTGCAATGAATGAATACCACAATTTATTGAACAATTTCCTGTTGATGGTTATTTAGGTCATTGCCATTTTCTCATGTAATAACAATACATAAAAAATAATTTTGTACATATACTTTCTAACATAGATACAGGAATATCTGTCAGATTAATTCCTAAAGAGGAACTGCTGGTCTAAAAGGCATGTGCATTTATAATTTTTAAATGTTGCCAAATTGCTCTCCATAGAGGCTGTATCAATATATAATATTGTGAAACAATGAGAAATACATATATGTATATAGTGGTCTCTGACCCTGTTTCCTGACACAGAGCTCCTAAAACACTTGTAATTTCTGAAGTGAAGGGTACTTGGAGCATCTTTGTTTTAATAAAATGACTCTTGGTGAGCTCTTAGATGGTGGCTGGTCTTGAGGAAGACCAAGCCATGATTAGAAGCTTGGAACTTTCAGCCCCACCCCACCCTATCCTCAGGGAAGGGGAGAGGAGCTGGAGATTGTTAATAATAAATCATGCCTACATGGTGAAGCCACCGTAAAAGTCTCTGAAGTACAAGGTTGTGAAGTATAGGGTTTGGAGAAATTCTGGGTGGGTTAATACATCTGCGTGATGGGAAGGTGGTGCACCCCAACTCCACAGGGACAGAAGCTCCTGTGCCTGTCCTGCTTTTGGACCTTGCTCTATGTTTCTCTTCCTCTGGCTGTCCATCTGTAGCCTTATCAGATCCTTTATTATATAATAAACTGGTAAACGTAAGTGTTTCCATGAGTTCTATGAGTCACTGTAGCAAATTATCAAACCTGGGGAGGGGGTTGTGACAACCCCTAATTTATAGCCACATTAGATAGAAGTGTGGGTAACCTTGGGACCTACTCCTTGCAATTGGTGTCTGAAGTTGGGGGCAATCCTGTGGCATTGAGCCCTTAACCTGTGGGGTCTGCAGTAACTCTTAGAAAGTCAGTGTCAGAAGTGGGTTAAATTGTAGGATACACAGTTGGTGCCTACAGAGAATTGGAGAATTGTTTGGTGTGGGAAAAGCTCACACGTTTAATGGCCAGAAGTATTATGAAAGTGTAGAGAAGAAATATTTTCCCCCATTAAAAAATACCATCAGCAACATTTGGGGGTGCCTGTTTACCCTCCCCCTTATGAACGTCATTTTCAAACTTTTTGACCATTAACATTCTAGGTGGTAAACAACTTACATTGCCTATTGTTTTAATTCACATTACATTTATTAGTGATTTTTAAGTTCTTCTTTACTATTATTTTATTTCTGGAAGTTGTCTTGGGATTTTATAGCTTTTATAACTAAGGTATATCACTGATAAGTAATAATAATTTTGTCTTCTTGCCACATCTGGTTTTTGTTTTATTCCTTCCTTTATTGCATTGATCCTAACTTCTAGAACAA